TAATGTGAATACCATTTCTTCTACCAGCAGCACATCTTGAATAAGAGCAAATTTGGCCACCAAAACAATTGCCAACTTTTGGATTTAATGATACCAACAATTCATACAATTGTTGCTTTACATGTAGATATGGCCGAATATCACAAAACATTGTTTAAATGGTCTCATTCATATTTAAATTACTGTGGACTAATAGGTTTTCTGATATTTCTGAGTGACATTGCATAAACTAGATTTCAAGTGATGAAATTGCGTGAAATATTAAAATAATATTTGTAATAATTTTAGGAGCAATCTACATTTGAATACAATGAATTATTATTTGATCACATGTAAGTGTACAATTTCATTTCAATCTTTATTTGCTTACGACCACTATTTCTAATAATGCAATAAAGATATATATATATTATTATTTCAAATTTGAACACCCCAATCAAATTTATGTGACTTTTGATATGAAATTTAACAAATTGGTACTTTAAAGGCAAAGTTGTAAGAAACACTGTTCAGAATGTCCAAGGAAAATAATTTTCATGATCAATTTGGTTTCCATTTTTTGGGGAAAATTAGGCCCATTAGTGCAATGCATCATGGATAGTCTCACCTCAGCTACGACTTGTTGCAGCTGTTGCCGTACATCTTCCCTAGTATAGTGAAGTGTGTTCACCCTGGCAACAGTATTACATGGAGGAGTACTCAATTTAGATAACAAATCGGTAAACCTTGTATCGCTGCATTCTTTACCAAGTTGTTCAACAATCTACAAAATAGAAAACATGATTACACAGATCAATGCATTTGAATTAGCAGTGTCATTTAAGTGCATGATACAAATATTGTTTTCTAACAGTACAGGAATTACCCTTCATATTAATCTAGCCTAACATATTACATTTATAGTTGTCAATCTTAGTTCATCTAGATTGTCTGTTGACCATGCATTTAGTTATTATAGAATGTTGTAAATACCGTAAATGCATTAATCAATTATTTGCTCATTTTAATATTGCTATTTTTGTTGATAAATAACATTTTTGACCATGTAAAATAACAATAGATTAACACTTTGTTTTGATTCAAGAACTTGCTCAAAAAGTCAAAATAGTGAAATTAAATACTTTTACAGTAGATAAAAAAATGTTCGTACAGATAAATATGATATACAGTAGAGATGTTGTTTGCCACAATAATTGGTGAACACCATGTTTGACATCAATGCAGTGCATAAACTGGCACTACATTATACATTATATGGTGTTTGTATCCATGGATGAAAATACGCACACAGTACGATTCAATTATAAATACCTGCTGATTACAGTATATTTCTTTCAAATACTGTTCAACTTCCTGCTTTAGTCTGAGTGGAGGCAATGGTCTTTGCATATCAGAAATAAAGTAGCTTCATTGTGGAGAAGGTTTTCAAACTAACATGGGTAAAACCACCATGAATCAGAAACAGCTGTTTGCTAGTCGGCCCATACTTAGGGAGTATATTCGATCAATGGCAACAACTTAGAAGGTCTTGCTAACCTTGTTGTTGCATTGTGGGTAAAATTCAAAATGGCGACCTGGCAACACAACTTTGACGTGAATTTGTTATCGGAAAGAAAATAAGCGGCATATCACATTATCACTGCATAACCAGGTAAGCCGACATCGTCAATTCTTCTGCGCTTCGATACTGTTTCCTCATGCGAAGAAAATTGCTTTCGTATGTGAACCAGCTTCTTTATGCAGGGGAAACGAACATTGTTTATCTTCTGCTTCTGCTTATCTCTGACACTGGTTACAGGTGAATGCCCGTACACCGTACATGTATACCCTTGGTGTGTTGTTTATAATGTCATAGTTTTATTTACCAATATTTAGATGCAATAGATGTAAACAAATAGTTGTCCTATGTACTACTAATCACTGGTTTGGAGTGGTTTGAATCTCCATACGTCAGATCACTGATCAGAAGTTTTGGGATTGAGATTTGCATAAGAGCTGACTTGTATAACTCGCAAATTTTTAATAAAAGACGCATTCTTAAAATGTGTTGGCGTTGTCTACAGTGAATAATTGGAAGAATAACAGAATACAATCTTCATGTTCATATATCAGTTTATTAGATTTCGACCTTTGATCTATCAGTAGGTAAATTTAGTTTCGTTTTGGTATTACATTATCTCACTACCAGTGAATGGGTGTTCAAATCAAACAGCTACAATTGATCTGTATGATAATGTCTCAGCTGTACAAGCTGGACAGTAGTAAGGTGCTATGTATTGCTATTAGTCAAACCATCTTTTTTTAGCTCCATGGTCAAACCTAGGGTTACTTTGAAATTACATCTCACAGAAGTATCTACATGTAACTTTGTTTATTATTTGTGAAGTCATTTCATTCAGATTTCATCAAAAAGTGAACATGTGCAGTGAAAAGACTGAAGTTGATAAGGAATGAACTTCTTTTGAGTGTGAAAACCATCACTCATTTTTTTCCTTGGCCTAGTTTGAGTAGGTAATTTTTAGCTGTTCAATTAATATGTCTACATCCACACGTCATGTTCAAATGCTTGAAACATGCATTGTATCTGATCACCTTCTGCAATGTCACTCCACAAACCATAAATGTACAATTACATTTTTTTCTTTTTTATTACATTTCTAGTTAGTATTATCATACTCAATTCTGTAAACCACATTGTTTTCACATTGTACATCTCAAAGGATAAGTACTTCATGTTTGATATAGATAGGCAATTAATTTTAAATCGTTTTTATATATTTTATGGAGTTCTTTCTAAGGTTCTCTTGTTTGAATGTCCTGTAGGTCCACGATAATGCTGAAGTGAAAAGAGTGTTGCCATAAAAAAAGATGTCTGTAACACAAGAAGAAGCCAGGCTGCCTGCAACTGACCATGGGCGGTTACCAGCCCTGTCAGACACAGTGAGTTTAGTGTCAGACAGCAGCACTGCCAATACACCTAGGAATCCTACTGTATCAATAGTCCAGCAAGCTGCATTTTGGGCGACTGATGTCAGATCCAGGATTGATAAAAATATCACAAGTGGAAAAGAGGTTGAATTTTCAGATATTGATTGGTTGACTCAAGAGTTGGTAGCAGTCTTCATAACAGCCTTGCAACAAGATAGGTAATTTATGATTCACTTCTACTGATAATATTTTTTATTATCTTATGTATAATATACCTGTACCAAGTGCTCATTGGATATTTTTGATAACTCACCCCCAATATCCAGTGAGTTGACTATTAATGATCTGATTGATCAATGCATGAAATTCAAAATTGTGATGTCATTTTCAAAGATGGCAAAACATGTGTTATTGGCAACTTGGCAATACATTTTTTTAATAACTGTTTAAAATACAGTAAATATTAACTTCAAACCTCATCCTGGTAGCATACAAGATTTTCTTAATGTGCTGATTGTTGAATTCTTGTAAAATGTGTATAAAGACACTGACAGGATTATTTCCAAAGTTAGTAATTCAAATGTTATCAATGTGTTCCGGAAATTGTAAATATATTGATTTCCTAGAAAATCAGCAAAATTGTTTGTAGTGGTGGCAATAAATTGTTGCTTAGCTGTATTCAAGGAATGAAATTTCTGTATGTAAATGAGACATACAATGTGCTAAACAAGTTTACAATTCCAATGTAATTATGGTGAGAAAAAGCTGTGAAACAGACACTTGGGATACTGTAAAATACTGTATTTTCATTTGGAATTTATTTTTGCTAAAGGGAAGATTCAGTAAAATAAAATATATGCATCAGGGATTTTTTTAAACAAGGGAACAGTGATGCAGTGCCCTCATGCCATGGCCATGCGCCCCCTTACCCTGGGGAGCAGATCCTCTGGTATTCATAAAATTCTAATTGACCAGGGATCACATGTGGCCAGTCTTCTACTGTGATCTGTCTTGATAGTAATTTTGGCCCCGAGGAAGCCATAGAATGCTCCGTTTTAACAAACTCCACATCCTGGTAGGGAGAACCTTATCTCCCCCACTTGGTGGTGTCGCTGAATTGCAGTGCTCCCTCTTGCAGTTTTTTTCTAGAAAAACCCCTGTGCATTTTTGCCTTTTACATTCAACTCATCAAAAATCAGTGAAAATAAATTCTGCACAAAACACCCACCACTTTTCAGCCAAAATTAACTAAAACAAAGTTTTTTACAGTAAATAGAATTTCCAATTCATGACTGTTGGTATTGGATTTATTAAACATAAAAATCACTACATGTGCACTAATTAAATCATTGTCATTCATTAGAGATCCTCTATATGGTTATTTAACATAACAAACCAACATTTTCTATGAAATTTATCATTCTCATGTATAAAGATACAAAACTTATTCATATATTTTTAAATAATAATATTTGTCCTCATATTTTGCAGCCATCAGTACTGGTTATATGTGCATGAAATTTTTAATCTTTTATCACCATATGCAAAATATTTACAAAGAAATCAGCAGGTAAGTAGAAAAAAAATATAAAGGATATAAAACTATAACTTCATTTTAATATTACTGCCATGTATTCATGACTTTAAGTTAGACTCTAGAGCATACATGGAGTGTTATTGGGGTCTATATAGCTATTATGTGACATTTGTTGGTATGAATTTGCGAGCAAAGAAACAAGGATTCATCAGACCTCTAATTACTACTGGTGATTGCTGTGTCATTTGAAGATAAAACATTTACTATGTTTTCATATACAGATTCACCATTATTTAGAAAGAATATATTACCACATACAGAGTGTTAAAGAGAAATTCTTTGATATCCCTATGGTGCAGAGAATGGCAATGATATTTCCAGAAGTGAGTATTTCAAGTTCAACAAGTTTTAATATACTGTACACTGCTATTGCTCAGTTTTAGATGAGTTTTCGAAGTCTTTTGACATATCCCCCATTTTTCACTTGAATATCTTTTGCAAGGTATTATAAGTGGAATGCAAAATCTATTCATACTGTATGTATGTTGTACGGTATCAGCAGTCAATCTGGTAATAAAAACATTTGTTTGTTTTCTTCATAATACATTGATATATTGTAGGAAATGGAAAGAATACAGCGAGTTGGCGGTAACAGTCGTAACTACCGCACACCAACCCCACCACGGCCCTTGATTGTAACACCAAGGAGATCACGCCAAACTGATCCAATGAAACTACCTAATGGCAACAATCCATTTGTATTGGAACGCCATGTAAGTATTTTGTACTAAATTACATTTACTTGTGGATTTTACACTGTGACATTGCAATGTGTCATGTTGGTTCTAAACTTTTAAACTTTGTCAACTATATATGGGTGGTAACATTAGCCTTGCTGCAATACAAAGTTTCAATTCAAAGTTTCTGGGCTGTATTGATTAAATTGATTTTTACATTATAATAGTTTGCCTCATTCATTCATGTATTGATTAAATTGATTTTTACATTATAATAGTTTGCCTCATTCATTCATGTATTGATTAAATTGATTTTTACATTATAATAGTTTGCTTCATTCATTTTAAAAATAAAAAGTGTTTTGTTGTAGTAGTACAGTACACACTAAAAAGTCAGTAAATGAAATTATTTTCTTTATTCACTGCACGTACATGTGTTTCACTGTCATCACAAAATATAGGTGTCTTTCTATTTTCATTTTATTTCTGACAGGATGATGTGGACAAAGTCCGGCCGAAAGGATTGTCATTTGGTGACTTGGCCAAATCTTTGCCTGCTGTCATTGGTGAAACATCAAAAAGTGAGTACCGTATATTTCAACACTGTTTTCAACTTTTTGTCAACTATTTTGAGCTATTTAACCACTGTGTCAGAGCCTTGGTTTATACAAACTTTGTACATTGCATACTTCCTAGCTTAGTTGTGTTGGTGGGCACCCGAAGCAGAATGCATGGTTTTATTGTAGTGAAGACTAATTATAACTAAGTTGATTAAGTAACTTTTTCTATCAGTATAACTCATTGTTTCTCAAAATTGAAATTTATAACAATACAACTTTAGTAAAATGTGAAAATTAGTGTGAGCTTGCCCTTTTTTAACTTACAGCTCTCCCTCCCATTTACATCCATGTAAAGTTCAAACACACTGCAAGAGAATTAAATATCCTGCGAGTTGAATAAATCTCAGTTCTTATATTTTATTTCTAGGAGAAGCAGTATGGAGTGAAGGATTTGGTTTGATGGCCCAAGCAGTCGGCACAGAGTTGCCTGAACATGTGAGTCCAGTTATAGTCACAGACATTCACATTTCATATGCATAGATGATTTGACAGAAATATCATGCAACTTACTTATTCTGAACCATTGTATACATATAACAATAACTTTATTACACTATCGAACCATCAGAGGGTTCAGTATGGTAAATAAAAAGTATTACAAGACTAGAACAATTCTAAAGACTGAGTTAAAAAATAAATGTTAAAAACAATTACTAGAATACAATTAGAACAAAAACTGATCTAAATAAAGAACTAGTAATTTTGTTCCACCAATTTCCTCCCCTCCCATGTGCGAGGTGATTAAAATTTTTTTTTTTTTATACCCTTGTACTAAACTGGTACAAATAAAATAAACCATCTTTTAAAGATTCACTGAAATTATATTAACACATCCATGTGTCTAAAGCACATGTTTGTAAATTTTCATGGCCCTAGAATTTATAAAGATCATCAAGTTGTGTTGTATTACTATTGGTGCTTTATGATTACATTATTTTTTATTCTAGCCTGAGACTGAATCTCAAGCTGAGAGGCCAACTCGTACATCTGAGCCATTTTCATGGTCTGTTGATCCATCCTTGTTTAAAGACGATTTCACTGTCAGTGAGGAAGCTGATGAGGTAAGATGTTGATGAAAACTTATTGTTGTTTAAATCATCTCAGATGTGTACATGTAGTTTAAATTGTTGTCTCAAATTAGCTGTTCTCACATCTAATGCTTGCTATCCTATTGTAGGAACCTGAACTGCCACCAATGACTGGTAAAGAAGCAGTGGAAATGTTTGGCCGGGGAAAGCACCTTGGTAAAGTCAAGTTTGTTTACTTGAACAAGGCGCCTTCTCGCCATTTTACACCATATGATCTGGTAGTGGTTCCCAAACACAAGGTATAGCAAATGAAAACATTATTGAAAGTACTGCACCATCAGTTTTGTCTTTTGTGAGGAAACTGTTCATATGAATTACTTTTATTGCAGGCCAATCCCAAAGAACACTGGGTGATGTCGTGCTTTGGTGTATTACATGTATATAAAAACAAACCATCTGAGACTACAACATTACATGAATGGCACAGGGAATGTGTATTGTGGAATACAATTACTAAACTACCTTTCTTTAAAGAGTTTCTCATCAAAAAAGCTTTTTTGAGGTAAGTACAACATCAGATTACACACTTGTTTATATACCAGTTTTGTGTTGTCAGAAGAATCAATAGTTACATTTGGAATGTTAAACAAATTTGTGTTATGTATCCCATTTATAAAACAACATATGGGAAAGGTTTTTGACTCCCATGTGCGAAGCACAAAATGGGAGTCTTTGCAGTGAGTGTGTCTGTATGTGTGTGTGTGTGTATGTGTGTCCGACTGTTCCACTGCTATCTCAAGAACCATACATCGGTTTTTGATGAAACTTGGTGCATAGATGCTCTGGGCCAATGCGCAGATTTGATTAGGTTTTGGTAAAAATCCATGCTCGTTAATTACCTAATTTGCATGATAAATAGCTAATTTTTAGCTGTTCTATGACTGTTCCACTAATATCTAAAGAACCACTCATTGGATTTTGATGAAACTTGGTACATAGATGCTCTGAACATATGCGCAGATTTGATTAGTTTTTGGTGAAAATCTGTGCATATTAATTACCTAATTTGCATGACAATTAGCTATTTTTTAGTGGTTCCATGACT